GAGATGACTTGTCCATTTATCACAAATGTCTCCATTCAACATGCACAAATCAGGGGATCATCAAATACACAGGGGAATATTAGGAAGTGACCAAGTTCTATGTAGTTTGTTACCTGAGGATCCCCAAGTGGTATTTCATAGAGCATTCTCTTTAAGAAATAAAATATCTCCCAACATTGGGGACCCCACAATGGAGATTTCTTTATTTTCAAGCTTAAAAGGTTTTTTCCCTTGTAGGATTTGCAAGCTAGGGGGGCGCTAGATTAGGTAGAAATGATTCCTTCCTGTCAGCAACTACAGACAGAAGTTATCATATTGATTCTTCTATTACCTGTAATACACAATACGTAGTTTACCTTCTGGAATGTCCATGTAAGATACAATACATAGGAAGAACAACTAGAAGATTGAGGGACTGTCTGAGGGAGCATCTCTACAATATTAAAAAGGTTCAAAGAACATTCCCTTCCAGCCCATTTTAGTGAATGTTATTTTAAGAATTCCAAAGATATCACATTTGTTGGGATTGACCAGTAATAAATGGAGGGTGGCGTCAATGTTGGAGATGAAGTGGATTTATGAGATGGGCACATTGGTTCCTGGTGGTCTCAACCTTAACATTGATGTTGTTTTATCGATAATAATAGCTAATATGATTATTCATTGTATATTTGAAACAGATTTTTGTATTTTTCAGATTTTTTTTGTTTAATACTATGCATATGCTTTGTACTTTTGTTTTAAATAGTTCTCTGGCCCTGTATATTTTACTTTTTTCTGTTTACTTTATTTCACACTGCTGGGGCCGGAGTGCCGTGTTTTCTTCACACCCGGGGACTTTTCTGCACATGCTTTGGAGAAGATGGAGAGGTCAATATTAGACATGGAATTGAACAGTCGCACTTTAGGATTTGTGGCTTCATATTGATTTGCTTTTTGCTGATATCTGCACATTCTAGTATTTGTTCTATGAACAGAGAAATCCAACCCTGAAGCCCTTTCTGGTGACTTTCTTTCTGCATTCACCTGTTTGGATGGATTGAGGTCTATTAATTCCTTTCTTCTGTGTGTGTCATTAAACACTTTGAGCGCTGCACTATGACGTCTTTATCTGCTTTGTTGGGAGGTTGGCGTATCCCCTTTGTGTGCTAGCTGCTACTTCCTTTCAGCGCTCACTTCTACCATTTCACCTGTTTTTGGAACACTGTATACCAGACCTGGACAGATTGCAGTCCCGGGCCACATCCAGCCCTCTGGCTGTCCTATCCAGCCCTCCATGCCTCCACTGTCCCCATACCTCCTCAATGAGGAAGCTGAGTGGCTCAGAGAGGCACGCTGACACATATCCGTATGGAGAGCTGCAAGAACTGGAAGGGAGAGAGCCGGAGGAGCTGATGGCTACAGAGGAGAGGCTCAGTTCTGGTGGGAGAACATTGCCTAGGAGACGTCCCAACGCTCTCCCACCACTCTGCTACCTAGCCAAGTCCTTCCTGTGTTAGCGCCTCCACTCTGCAAACCCAGGAGATATTCACCTGTCCTTCACTCCAGGCCAGGACCCCCAGAAATCCCAACAGTACCCATCTCAGGCTCCCTCCTTCCAGTCACAGGGCTTTTCAGAGGACATCTGACAGGGAATGAGGATGTGTTATTACCACGCCCATTGAGCCCAGTGGGGGAGCTTGATAAGAGGTGCTGCTTGTCAGACTCTGCACCCCGAGTTACTAATGCTGCAGACGCGGCCTGTTAATAGCCCCATCCAGCTGTTATTTTACAGTTTGAGGGCAGAAAAACTGTGGCAGTGGTACCTATTATTCCCAGTGCCAGGTGTTTGTTTTCTATATGTTTACATACTTACACACCTTCCTGGGTCCAAAATGACTATTCAGAAGAATTCAGTTTGTCCTCCACAACCGTCCCAGATTGTGGCCTCTTGGGAGAATGAATGACCCAACCCTGCTCTAAACATGAGAGCTCCCCCTAGCTGCAGCCTGGGAATGACATTACTAGGAGGTCTCTTCATTCAGCTGCTACATACTTCCCCTCCTTCAATCAAAGTCTCCTGACATTTAGGGGTCTCTTCATCAAAGCTTTGCCCAGCGATTCCCCCGGTGATGGCCCGTGTACGTTCCGTCTCTGGGAATGGGGGGCCACAAACAAATGCTATTAGGCTGTTTGCTGAGCTGCTTTAATAATTTATAATGACAAGAAAAAAATCCTGAAAAATAACGACTTTCAGCTTTTATATGACAAATTCCTATGATACTTAATGTCATCACTGAATGAATACAATACCACCGATATTCGTCACAGCTGGGCCAGCACCGCTCACATCTGTCCAATACATTGTTTACAAATCACACCTCCAAGTGTTTGTGAAATCTCCCACCACAAAATGTACTCAGCCAATGACAGGGCAGGACTCCATTTTTATTCTTCTCCTGCCATCAATGGCCAACCCGGCCCCACACTTCATCCATGTCTTTGGTGACCTCTGATCTCCTTATGGACTGTTCCTTCCATGATGAAGATCAGCCATGGAGTATATCTGAGGTGTATATCAGGGTGTGCTTCTTCCCCACATGAGAGCTGGGATGTCCAGCAACATTCATCTAGAAGACATTTCCCGCACTCAAGGCACTAATACATCTCCAGAGTTGTGTGGGACCCCTGATGTACAGGAAGACAGGACTTCAGTGAGGAACATTTCCCTCACTCAGGACAGGAAACTGGCTTCTTCCTGTGTGAGATCGCTGGTGTCTGGAAAGATTGGACTTGTCTGAAAAACATTTCCTGCACTCAGGACAGGAATATGGCTTTTCACCTGCATGAGACCTCTTATGTCTGACAAGTTTTGAGTTTTCTACAAAACATTTCCCACACTCAGGACAAGAATATGGCTTCTCACCTGTGTGCAATCTCTGATGTGTGTAAAGACTGGACTTATGTGAAAAACATTTCCCGCACTCAGGACAGGAAAATGGCTTCTCTCCCCTGTGTGAGATCTCTGATGTCTGCAAAGACTGGACTTCTCTGAAAAAGATGTCCCGCACTCAGGACAGGAATATGGCTTTTCAACTGCATGAGACTTCTGATGTCTGACAAGTTTTGATTTTTCTACAAAACATTTCCCACACTCAGGACAGGAATATGGTTTTTCCCCCGTGTGCAGTTTTTGATGTTTGTGATAAAAGGACTTGTCTGAAAAACATTTTCCGCACTCGGAACAGGTATACGGTTTTTCTCCTGTGTGAACTCTCAGATGTGTGACAAGATGTGATTTTTGTACAAAATATTTCTCGCACTCAGGACAGGAATATGGCTTCTCGCCTGTGTGGTATGTTGTATGATGTATTTGTAGATGGGATTTTTGTGAAAAACATTTTTTGCACTGAGGGCAGGAAAATGGCTTCTCCCCTGTGTGAGCTCTTTTGTGCACATTAAGATTATGTTTAAAACGGAAACATTTCCCGCACTCAGAACAGGAATGTGGCTTTTCCACTGTGTGACATCTTTTATGGACATTAAGATGTGATTTGGAGTCAAAACATTTCCCACACTCAGCACAAGAATGAGGCTTCTCCCCTGTGTGAGATCTTGTATGGGTGTTAAGACGGGATTTAAAATGGAAACATTTCCCGCACTCAGTACAAGAGAAGCTCTTCCTTGTTGGAAGGCCGGCCCGGTCCCGCACAGTCTGAGGTTCCTCAGGATACGAGGAATCCAATGGTCCATCTACACTGGGTGGTACCGGATGGACATTGGAGGGAGCCGGGTTTTCTCCTGGACTATACTGTGTGATGTCCTCATCTTCTACTTTCCAGTCTGGAGACAAAGTGAGACAATCCTCGGAGGTTTTCCTCATCTCCCAGCCATGGACTAAAATACAAAGACAAAGAGGATTACTAGACAGGAGCTGATTGGTTCCCCCAAACCGGGACTCCACCCACATCAGGCAGCTTGGTCTCTGAGGAGCTTACAATTCCACCCTCAAGGGAACTAGTAAAAACAATCAGGTCAACCCACCTGAGGTCACATGGCAGCAAGTGTCAGGTGTGGCAGTCTGCTTCCAGCCTGGCTGGTGCAATCCAGTCCCAGGAAAGACCTGAAGCCATGTGCTCTCAGAATATAAATACCACTCCCAGCATGCAATGTGACTGCCTTCCCCTGCAATTGGCCAGGGCCGCATCCATATTCATGCTGGTCATTTGACTAGCCCCTACCCATGTTCTGGAAGGCTCTTATAGCTTCCTGAAGGCGGGCAGAACGCCGACAAACTCAACAGAACCAAAACAGCATGAGCAGACCTGACTAATCAATCACAGCTCTCTGTAAAGCAGAATTACCGACTGAATTTACCTGTCAGCCTCTCTGGTGAGCAGAGAAATACAGCTATGCTTTACCTGACTCTACACATCCTAGACCTGACCAGGAGGGGGCTACATCACATCATTATCACCATGTAAAAGTCTGTGCTCCAATCACATCATCCGATATAAAATGTCCAGCTGGGAGGAAATGGGAGCAAAATAAATAAGGCCAATGTAATGTACAACTTATTGTATAGGAAACAACAGTTAGGACTGTATAGTATCAGAATGATGTAATGTACAACACAGAGTATATAGAGCAGGGGTCAGGAGTATGTAATGTACAACATAGAGTATATAGTGCAGGGGTCAGGAGTATGTAATGTACAACATAGAGTATATAGTGCAGGGGTTAGTAGTATGTAATGTACAACACAGAGTATATAGTGCAGGGGTCAGGAGTATGTAATGTACAACATAGAGTATATAGTGCAGGGGGTCAGGAGTATGGAATGTACAACATAGAGTATACAGTGCAGGGGTCAGGAGTATGTAATGTACAACATAGAGTATACAGTGCAGGGGTCAGAGTATGTAATGTACAACAGAGTATACAGTGCAGGGGTCACGAGTGTGTAATGTACAACAGAGTATAAAGTGCAGGGGTCAGGAGTGTGTAATGTACAACATAGAGTATATAGTGCAGAGGTCAGGAGTGCGTAATGTACAACATAGAGTATATAGTGCAGGGGTCAGGAGTATGTAATGTAAAACATAGAGTATATAGTGCAGGGGTCAGGAGTATGTAATGTACAATATAGAGTATATAGTGCAGGGGTCAGGAGTATGTAATGTACAACAGAGTATATAGTGCAGGGGTCAGGAGTATGTAATGTACAACAGAGTATATAGTGCAGGGGTCAGGAGTGCGTAATGTACAACATAGAGTATATTAGATTAGATTCAACTTTGTCATTGTGCAAAGTACATGTACAGAGCCAATGAAATGCAGTTAGTATCCAGCCAGAAGTGCATAAATGTCCCATTTACAATAAATACAGTATAATAAAATCGGGTGTGGGAGTATACGTAACAGTTACAATATAAATCGGTGCAATGAGTAATGCATTAATGGATGAAATATTCAGTAATGTAATATTGTCTAATGATTAGGAAAAAACTATTTTTCAGTCTATTTGTACGAGCTCTGAGACACCTGTATTGTTTTCCCGATGGAAGGAGTATGAACAGTCCATGGTTAGGGAGGGAGGCATCATTAATTATATCCCTTGCCCTTTGTACACAGCGTTTTCTGTAAATGTCCTCCAGGGTGGAAAGCTGCCTCCTCCAGGAGTATGTAATGTACAACATAGAGTATATAGTGCAGGGGTCAGGAGTATGTAATGTACAATATAAATTATACAGTGTAAGGGTCAGGACTCTTATTTCAGAGAGAAATCCAGGAATACAGGACGGGGAACACAGCTCAGGAAAGTGACCAGGGGATTACAGGCTGATATCACCCAGTCCCCCGCCCTACTCTGGACCAATCAGTGAGCAGTATGGGTGGAGGAATGGATTTAGTGTTCATGACCCACCTGTGCTGATCTCTGGTAGGAGGTGGCTCCATAATGTCCGTTATTCCATCCTCCTCCATAGACTGCTGATCATCCCTCACATACGCCTCTTCTTCTTCTGCTTTCACCTCAAATTCTATATCGATTGGATCTCCACTCTAAAAAGGAAATGAGAAAAAATATCATCTGTAAAATATAAGGTCACATAAATCCACACATTATCTCTATGAATCCATGTTCTAGATGCTCCATCCCACCCAACCTTGCAATGGTGAGGGATGGTGTGACCTTCCTGTGTGGAATCCTGGGAATACAGAGGATGGGGACATCTCTCTGGTGGGTTCCTGGTATTAGGTGGCTCCATCATATCCTTGTGTCCTTCTGAAAACTCCTCCATCCCCCCATACTCATCCTCCTCTTTATATCTTCTTTAACATCAATATTATCATCCCCGAGGATTCCACTCTGAAAGATATAATAAAATGACATTCATTGTAACAAATGTGCTGTGTATAAATCACAACTACCAATATGATTGTCATCATCTACCTGATGATGGTGAGGGATGGTGTGACCTTCCTGTGTGGAATCCCAGGAATACAGAGGACGGGGACATCTCTCTGGTGGGTTCCCATGACTGGATCCATCTGTAGGAAACACACACACTGACTGAATCCATTGTTTCTATGTGTTTATCAGATGATGGGGGATCTAGGTGGATCCTCCGTACTGCTCTCTCCTTTACAATAAAGTCTCCTCTTACCCGGTGATGTGAGGGGCGGCTGATTGTCCATCATGACGTCCTTGTAGAGATCCTTGTGTCCTTCTAAATACTCCCACTCCTCCATGGAGAAATAGACAGTGACACCCTGACACCTTATAGGAACCTGACACACACAATGATACAGTCACCATCCAGACACATCCCTTGTCTGTTACTGGAGAATGTCCCAGAATTCCCGGCACCGCTCACCTCTCCTGTCAGTAGCTCCATCATCTTCTTGGTGACTTCTAGAATCTTCTGCATGTTGTGTCTCTCAGGCTTTAGGGAGTCACATGGAGGCACTGTGATGGTCATATGATCACCTGACTTCAGAAGAGGAAATCTCTGTATTGGGGAACCAATAGGAATATCATGTTAGAATCCCAGAATCCTCCTCACCTATCCGGATCAGGTCCTGTTTTATTAATAGAGATAAGAGTGATGTCATGTGACCTCCCAGAATCCTCCTCACCTCTCCGGTCAGGTCTGTGTTTTATTAACAGAGATAATTGATGTCATGTGACCTCCCAGAATCCTCCTCACCTCTCCGGTCAGGTCTGTGTTTTATTAATAGAGATGAGTGATGTCATGTGACCTCCCAGAATCCTCCTCACCTCTCCGGTCAGGTCTGTGTTTTATTAATAGAGATAAGAGTGATGTCATGTGACCTCCCAGAATCCTCCTCACCTCTCCAGTCAGCAGGTAGATGATCTCCAGGGTGAGGTTTAGTATCCTCTCAGTCATGTGACTCCGGTCCTCCTCCATCCTCATTGGTGCCATCATGTGATCTATGTGGGTGTCTCTGTAGATGGTTAACAGAGGATTATCTGGACTGTATTGGTTGTACAATATTAGGAGGGGAATATAAGTGGTAAAAAGTAAGAATGCCCCCAGTGGGAATTAGCACAAGACTGGGTTTCTTAGAAGATCTATGTATAAACAACATTTGTATAATCATTCATCAAGATTTCCTTTCTAATAAAGATTATTTTATTATATGCAGTAGTGAAATACCTCATTGAGGTCACTAGAAATAATATGTCTTTGTAACAATTGATACAATGTAACAATTCTGGAGAACACTAGAGGGAATAACAAATAACAACTAATGGGTGTGCACCATATACATGTTGGTGAAAAGTGGGTGTATGCAGCCCGTCATCACCATACAGTAAACAGTGAGCAATAAAAACTCTACACCTCCCCCATCACTATAGTATAAATACAAGCCAGGCTGTCCATTCACCTCCATCAAAATACTACAAAGACAGAGACCTCATGTGAGAGGTGGATTTGCTGCACAGGGAGACAGTGGGGGAGAGCAGCTGCTGCACAGGGAGATAGTGGGGGACGGGGAGCAGTTGCTGCATGGGGAGATAGTAAAGAGGGGGAGAAGTTGCTGCATAGGGAATAGTAGGAGGGAGCAGTTGCTGCACAGGGAGATAATAGGGGGAGAGCAGTTGCTGCACGGGGAGATAGTAGGAGGAGAGCAGTTTGCTGCACGGGGAGATAGTGAGGAGAGCAGTTTCTGCATGGGGAGATAGGAGGAGGAGCAGTTGCTGCATGGGGAGATAGTAAGAGGAGGATAGTAGAGCAGTTGCTGCATGGGGAGACAGTAGGAGGGGATTCAGTTGCTGCACGGGGAGATAGTAGGGGAGAGCAGTTGCTGCACGGGAGACAGTGGGGGGAGAGCAGTTGCTGCACGGGAATAGGGGGGAGAGCAGTTGCTGCACAGACAGTAGGGGGAGTTTGCTGCAGGAGAAGACAGTTGCTGCACGGGGAGACAGTGGGGGGAATTCAGTTGCTGCACGGGAGATAGTAGGGGGGAGAACAGTTGCTGCACGGGGAGACAGTAGGGGGAGAGCAGTTGCTGCACGGGGAGACAGTAGGGGGAGAGTAGTTGCTGCACGGGAAGACAGTAGGGGGAGAGCAGTTGCTGCACGGGGAGACAGTAGGGGGAGAGCAGTTGCTGCACGGAGAGACAGTAGGGGGAGAGCAGTTGCTGCACGGGGAGACAGTAGGGGGAGAGCAGTTGCTGCACGGGGAGACAGTAGGGGGGAGAGCAGTTGCTGTGAGACATAATGGTAGTAGGGCTCTACAAACTAGAAGCAGGGTAGACCAACCATCTAATGCAGCCACAGCACACACAGGTGGATGATGAATGGCTGAATAATTGACCAATCATCTCCAATTCCTTCACAATGGTCTTGGGTCAAACAGTTCAAAAATGATAATGAAAATGAAATCCCATCCTGTCTGGATAGACAACTCCTGGACAGAAACCGTTCAGTGATCTCTCATGACATTATACATAATAAATGTTCCCATAACAGCCGTGTCGTCTCATCATTTATTAAGGCAAACAATATAATTCCATCATCACTCCCTAATAAAATACAAAATTCCCCCCAAAAGGTGTACAGATTCCCCTCCCCCATACATATCTTTATCTAAGCCTTCATGACAATAGCCCCCCATGACTCAACACAACCAGAATATTGGCCAATTTTACATACCAGATCCTCTCCTCCCGCAGGCTCCTCTGGGTTGTACAACCGGTCCATGCAGCCTCTCCTCCCCCTATACTCTGTTGGTTGCAGGTTCTCTGATGTCATCAAGACCAATGCAGAGCCCATAGCCCCTCACTGGACAGGAAGAGGGACAGTCCACTGCCAGAGTGTAGGGGAGTAGAGGAGAGTGCTGACAGCCGGGGGAGCAGAGGATCAGATATATCAAAGAGCTTTTCCTGGTCCCCTGCACCTAAACTGCCATTTACCTCTTGGAGTTGTGGGGCTTCTGTTATGCGAGGGTTAAATGTTCATCCAGAGGCGGGTGACACCATGAATGGCGCAATGCGCTGTGCGTTCCTGTGTGATTCACATATGATCCGGGTGCAGTGCGATTTCACTGGATTCCTTTGAATGGGCTGAAAGTGAAGCGGAGCGCAGCAGAAGTAGTGCATGTACTACTCTACAAAACCCTTCTGTACCATGCCATCCAGTGCAGGCAAATGCACCGCATTTGTCACCTGCGTCTGTGATGTCATCAGCATTGTACTGACACCCTGCGTCTGTGATGTCATCAGCATTGTACTGACACCCTGCGTCTGCGGTGTCATCAGCATTGTACTGACACCCTGCGTCTGCGGTGTCATCAGCATTGTACTGACACCCTGCGTCTGTGGTGTCATCAGCATTGTACTGACACCCTGCATCTGCGGTGTCATCAGCATTGTACTGACACCCTGCGTCTGTGGTGTCATCAGCATTGTACTGACACCCTGCGTCTGCGGTGTCATCAGCATTGTACTGACACCCTGCGTCTGCGGTGTCATCAGCATTGTACTGACACCCTGCGTCTGCGGTGTCATCAGCGTTGTACCGACACCCTGTGTCTGTGGTGTCATCAGCATTGCACTGACACCCTGCGTCTGCGGTGTCATCAGCATTGCAACTGACACCCCTGCGTCAGTACAGGACGGACATGACTATGGAGGAAGAGGACGGACATGACTAAGGAGGAAGAGGACGGACATGACTAAGGAGGAAGAGGACGGATGTGACTAAGGAGGAAGAGGGCGGATGTGACTAAGGAGGAAGAGGACGGATGTGACTATGGAGGAAGAGGACGGACATGACTAAGGAGGAAGAGGACACAGTCGACCACCCCCTCCTCCTTAATAAACTACTCTCTCTTGGCATCAGAGATACCGCTCTCTCCTGGTTCTCATCCTACCTATCCCGACGCTCCTTCAGTGTCACCTACAACGGTGCCACCTCCCCCTCCCTCCCCCTCTCTGTTGGGGTCCCCCAAGGCTCTGTCCTCGGGCCCCTTCTCTTCTCCATCTACACCTCCTCCCTGGGCACACTCATACACTCCCACGGCTTCAATTATCACCTCTATGCTGACGACACTCAAATTTACCTCTCCACCCCTCTCCTCACCCCCACTATCTCCGAAAGCATCACTCACCTCCTTAACGACATCTTAGACACTGGATGTCGCTACATTTTCCTCAAGCTCAACCTCTCCAAAAAAAAAAAAAAACCGAACTCTCGTCTTTCCCCCACCCCGTGCCCCCCTCATCATATCCATCATCACCAACACCACTATCATTCCCGCCCCGCAAGCCAAAGTCCTTGGCGTCATTCTGGGCTCGAACCTCTCCTTCCAACCTCATGTCACATCACTTACAAACACCTGCAGACTCCACCTCCGCAACATCGCCAAGATACGCTCCTTCCTCACCCCAGACACCACTAGACTACTCGTACACTCCCTGATTATCTCACGCCTTGACTACTGCAACTCCCTCCCCCCCGGCCTACCCCAGTGCAGGCTCTCCCCGCTTCAGACCATCCTCAACTCAGCGGCCAGACTCATCCACCTCACCACCCGCTCCACCTCTGCCACCCCCCCCTCTGCCTCTCCCTCCACTGGCTCCCGGTTGTCCAACGCATCAAATTTAAACTTCTAACCCTGACCTACAAAGCCGTTCACAACACTGCCCCTGACTACCTCACCGACCTGATTCCCAAGTACCCCCGCCCTACCCTTACCCTTCGCTCCCCACAGGACCCTCCTTCTATCCTGCTCCCTGGTCTCCTCCTCCCATGCACGACTGCAAGACTTCTCCAGGTCCTCCCCCATCCTCTGGAACTCACTGCCCCAATCCATCCGACTGTCGCCTTCCCTCCCCACATTCAGGCGCTCCCCCAAGACCCATCTCTTCAGGGAAGCCTACCCCACCCCACCTAACGGCCATCCTCCCTCATTCGCTCCTACCACTTCATCCCCCTCAGCCACTTCCTATTGTTCCACTACCCCCTCCCTCCTAGATTGTAAGCTTGAAAGAGTAGGGCCCTCTTACCCCCTCGTACGCCTGTCTGTTTTTGTGGTACTGTGCCATGTATTGTCCTCCCCCCTATTGTACAGCGCTGAGCAAACCCTTTGCGCTAATATAAACTCCATGTAATAATAATGTAATAATAAGAGGACGGACGTGACTATGGAGGAAGAGGACGGACATGACGGGGGGGTTAATGGTTGTAAATAAAACATAACATCTTATTACCTTCTCTGCTGTCACTTCCACCAACGTCTCCTCTGTACTTCCTGTGTTCCTGACATCACTTCCTGTCTGTCCCTGACATTACATCCTGTCTTCCATATATACTTCTTGTCTGTAATATATTTCTGTCCCCCTTGGTGGGAGTGGAGGTGACCCCCTCTATAAGGATCTACAGTCCATACACACCCAGCACAAGGCCGGGGTCACACACTACCAGAACGCTTCTCGGGGCTGCAGTTCCTCTGAGCTCCACAAGGTGGGGATCTCACTTCTACTCAAACAGGAAGTCTCTATGGAAGACAGGAAGTGATGTCAGGTACAGACAGGAAATGATGTCAGGTACAGACAGGAAGGGATATTAGGGACAGTCAGGACTTCCATGTGGTACAAGGTGACATTCCTGGATCTTGCAGCAGAGGAGGTAATACGTAGATGAACCCCTTCAGGGGGAGGAGTTGATGATAATATATTTGCCCCCAAAGCTGGCCTACATGGTTCAGTTTTATCGTTCAGGGTCCAGCGGGATGACCATAAAAACTGAAGTGATTCCCACATCCACACATTGGAGGTGGATGGGGGGAATCCTCCCCGCTGCACTCTTGTATTCTGACAATGGGGGGGACTCCTCCGCTCTCAGAATACACAGATCAGCACTGAAGCTATTGGCTGCAGCCGCTGGGGAGTGGCTTTTATCCGGCAGTGGCCACACATGGATGGAAATGTGAGCGATCCCCTGCTGAACCAGCTGAATTTCCATGGATCTATGGTCACCTTCAGTGACTTCCTCCCCCTCCCCCTCATCTCCTTCATGATGGAAGTCATGCTGAGAGATCATCTCCCATTGGCTGAGCAATATTCTCATTTGTCTCTCAGCTCCTTCTTGCTATTCCTCGTCCTGCCTGTTGTTTCCTTGGATTGATTTTCTGTGTAGTGACCCCGGCTTGATCTCTTGGATGCGCTCGTCTGTTGCTTGCCCTGACCTTTCTCCTGATTCCTGGATCTCCTCCTCCTCTCTCCTCCATATCCTCTTACACAGCTTTTCTCCACACCTGCAGTGACCCTGGGGGGAGGAAACTTGGCACCAGCACGCCGCCAAATCCATCCCCACCATTAGGGGCTCTGGAGACAATTGTCTGCTATTTACACTCCGTTCCTCCGCACGTCACCTGATCACATGACAGCTTACTTCCACAGATTCCGGACCGATTTCTGGATGGTAAAGGTCAAAGGTCACTCTTCAGTTTAGGAGAGGTAGGACGCACCCAGGAACAATGATTTGGTTTATACAGGAGCCCCATATAGAGGACCCCTCAAATCTCCCCGATCCAAATGTCCCCTCCATCCAGAGTCTATATGTCCTATGACATCACACTGACCTCACAGCTCCTCCTCCCAATGTCCCTCCATCCAGAGTCAGCCCAAGAATCCTATGACATCACACTGACCTCACAGCTCCTCCTCCCAATGTCCCTCCACCCAGAGTCAGAGAATCCTATGACATCACACTGACCTCACAGCTCCTCCTCCCAATGTCCCTCCATCTTATTTTTTCTGTTCCTCTTAAGATGTTGGGGGCCCCTTGGTATCCTCACATGTAAAGTGGGACTGTTGGTCCTGTGTTGTATGTAATGACATCAGAATGCTTGCAACAAGCCTATACCCTGCGTAGTGTGGGGGTCCTGTGGGGGGAAATTATACCTCAGCCTGAAGTGGGGCTTTATATAAAATGGAGACCTGAATGGAGAGGTGAGGAGGGATTCTGGGAATATCATTTGATGTGACTATTTGTGTTCAGATGTAAGTTTTTCCTCCTGTGAAGTCTGGAGATCAATATGACATCACATTGCCTCCACCTCCCTCCCTGATAGAAGAGAGAAAGAAGAAGAAGATTCTAGAAGTCACCAGAGAGATCACTGAGCTGCTGACAGAGAGGTGAGCGGTGCCGGGAATTCTGGGACATTCTCCAGTAACAGACAAGGGATGTGTCCTGGATGGTGACTGTATCATTGTGTGTGTCAGGTTCCTATAAGGTTGGTCAGCCGGGTGTCACTGTCTATTTTCCTCCATGGAGGAGTGGGAGTATATTTAGAAGGACACAAGGATCTCTACAAGGACGTCATGATGACAATCAGCCGCCCCTCACATCACCGACCGGTAAGAGGAGACTTTATTGTAAAGGAGAGAGCAGTACGGAGGATCCACCTAGATCCCCCATCATCTGATAAACACATAGAAACAATGGATTCAGTCAGTGTGTGTGTTTCCTACAGATGGATCCAGTCATGGGAACCCACCAGAGAGATGTCCCCATCCTCTGTAATTCCCGGGATTCCATCCACACAGGAAGGTCACACCATCCCTCACCATCATCAGGTAGATGAGGAACAATCACTGATAGTATCATTAGGATCTGTACATTATCTCATTGTTACCATTGATGTCATTTTATTATATATTCAGAGTGGAAACCTGAGAGATCCTAAAGTTGAGGTTAAAGAAGAGATAAAAGAGGAGGAGGATGAGGATTGGGGGATGGAGGAGTCAGAGCTTCTAAAGGAACACAAAGATCTGTACCAGGACATCATGGTGGAGTCATCCAGCTACAGGAACCCACCAGAGAGATGTCCCCGTCCTCTGTATTCCTGGGATTCCACACAGGAAGGTCACACCATCCCTCACCATTACAAGGTTGGTGAGATGGAGCTTCTAGAACATGGACTTGTAGGGTTTTTTTTTTTACTAAAGCTGGTTCACTCAGGATCTGGTGCTTAAACTTTAGCAATAAAACCTGGAAGCTGATTGGTTTCCATGCAGAAGTGCACAATATTCTGAGTGAAGCCGCTTTAGTAAATAAACCCCATAGAGAACAATGTGTGGAGTTTTTTATGTTAGTTTATATCTTACAGATGATATTTTCTCTCATTTCCTTGATTTAGAGTGGAGATCCAATCGATATAGAATTTGAGGTGAAATCAGAAGAAGAAGAGGCGTATGTGAGGGATGATCAGCAGTCTATGGAGGAGGATGGAATAACGGGGACATTTATAGAGGAGGACACTCCTACAGAGATCAGCACAGGTGGGTCATGAACACTAAATCCATTCCTCCACCCATACTGCTCACTGATTGGTCCAGAGTAGGGCGGGGACTGGGTGATATCAGCCTGTAATCCCTGGTCCACTTTCCTGAGCTGAGCTCCCCATCCCACCTGATGTGGGCGGAGTCCGGGTTTGGGGGAACCAATCAGCTCCTGTCTAGTAATCCTCTTTGTCTTTGTATTTTAGTCCATGGCCGGGAGATGAGGAAAACCTCCGAGGATTGTCTCACTTTGTCTCCAGACTGGAAAGTAGAAGATGAGGACATCACACAGTATAGTCCAGGAGAAAACCCGGCTCCCTCCAATGTCCATCCGGCACCACCCAGTGTAGATGGACCATCGGATTCCTCGTATCCTGAGGAACCTCAGACTGTGCGGGACCGGGCCGGCCTTCCAACAGGGAAGAGCTTCTCCTGTACTGAGTGCGGGAAATGTTTCTGTTATAAATCCAAACTGAATGTGCATAAAAGATCTCACACAGGAGAGAAGCCATATTCCTGTCTTGAGTGTGGGAAATGTTTTATACAAAAATCACATCTTGTCACACATCAAAGGCTTCATACAGGGGAAAAACCGTACTCCTGTTCTGAGTGTGGAAAATGTTTTTCAGACAAATCCTTTTATTACAGACATCAAAGACTGCACACAGGTGAGAAGTCATATAAGTGTCCTGAGTGCGGGAAATGTTTTTGTAGAAAAGGCAAAACTTGACACACATCAGAGATCTCACACGGGTGAGAAGCCGTATTCCTGTCCTGAGTGTGGGAAATGTTTTTCAGATAAGTCAATTTTTACAGACATCAGAGATTGCACACGGGTGAAAAGCCGTATTCTTGTTCTGAGTGCGGGAAATGTTTTGCAGAAAAATCAGAACTTGTAAGACATCTTAGGTCTCATACTGGGGAAAGGCCGTTTTCCTGTTCTGTGTGCGGGAAATGTTTTTCACATATGTCTCATCTTAACAAACATCAGAGATCCCATACAGAGGACAAGCCACTTGCCTTTTCTAAGTGCAGGAAATTTTTTTTCAAGAAAGTCCAGTCTTTAAATCCATCAAAAATGTCACACAGGTGAAAAGCTGTATTCCTGTTTTGAGTGTGGAAAATGTTTTTCAAGGAAGTCTAATCATCACAAACATCAGAGAACTCGCACACCAGGGAGAAGCCGCATTCCTGTCCTGAGTGCGGGAAATGTTCCTCACTGAAGTCCTGTCTTCCTGTACACCAGGGGTCCCACACAACCCTGGAGGTGTATTAGTGCCTTGAGTGCGGGAAATGTCTTTTAGATGAATGTTGCTGGACATCACAGCTCTCGTGGCTAAGCACAGCACACCTCTGATATACTCCATGGCTGATTTTCATCATGAAAGAAACAGTTCATAAGGAGATCAGAGGTCCCCAAAGACATGGATGAAGTGTGGGACCGGGTCGGCCATTGATGGCTGGAGAAGAATAAAAATGGAGTCCTGCCCTGTCATTGGCTGAGTACATTTTGTGGTGGGAGATTTCACAAACACTTGGAGGTCTTGTCACACTTACCCTAACCCATGTGGTCAGACACTATAGCTGGCTTCTGTGGTCTTTACCTATAGCAGCCCCTTTCCCATAAGGCAGGCAGGCCTACTGACTGATACACAATGCTATAGTGCCTGGCTACCACACCAGAGCAGGTGCAAACTGAGCACAGCAACAGGCACTTGCATGTGTCAGGCAGAATGGTTCAATGACAGCCCAGGTACAAGGTGAGTTAATCTCCCGAAATGTGTCAGTTTCCCAACCGGGAAGTATTTGGGACAGGACCCCATTGTCTGGGACTGAAGATCTGGCTCTATGTCTGTTTTTATGGTCGGCTTGTGAGATTCCATTTGTGATCTATCTTTTAATAAATTTGATATTACGGTAATGCACCCTCTTGTGTGCTGTCTTTGACAATTCCTAGATTCCCCCATCTGTGGAGGGCTGCACCTCATCAAGTGACAGATACCGTGTGGAATTGTGAAGCACCAAGATTTGAGCGCTGTTGTGTTTGGCAACATTTGATTGACAAGGCAGGCAATATTTAGAGTAATCAGAGTTCAATCCCTAGTCCAAAGACAGGCAGAGTTCATAGAGTAGTTGATATCTGATCCAAGGTCATGAACAGAGGAATCCAAACAGCAGAGCAGGACAGACAGACAGGAAGCTTGAACACGTATTACACACAGTATCACAAGCATGAGACTGCAGGTTTGGCTGGCTTAAATCAGGTTTTGGTCTCCACCCAGAGACTGGCTGCATCATAACTAAAACCAGGATGCTGTAATGAGACCATCAGCTGTGATGGATTGGGGGCACTAGAAGCTTCTGACATTAACCTCCCTCTGAAGAGGGGCCCACAGACCCTTAAAGGCATGTTGGGAATTCAGCAAAGAACCATTATGTTGGGCAATGGTCAGGGGATCATCAAAGTCAGGTTCGTTAGTAGGTATAGAGTTTATGGAGCCAAACTGGACAGCAGAGAACCTGTAACATCAGGTTGGATAGCCGGTGACATGGTACTGCAGTCAGGCTGTAACGCAGGCTGGATGCAGAGTGGACTGAAGAAAAAGTTGTGGGCCCCAAATGGCTGAATGAGGCAGTTTATCCAAAAGCTGGATGGAACTTCTTAGACAGGTTTGAGCAAATATAGTTGCAGTAGGGTGAGGCCCGGTTACTGAAAGTTCCAAAAATGAAAGAGCAGGAGGCTCAATTGGCCTGGGCTGAACCAGAACAACTGGTGCGGAGGTAGGCTAGACCACACTGGCTGGTGTAGAGACAGACTAGACCACACTGGCAGGTGTAGAGACAGACTAGACCACACTGGCAGGTGTAAAGACAGACTAGACCACATCAGCAGGTGTAGAGACAGCAGAACTTGAGGACAAGTCAGCCTGGACATGCATCCAAGGGTGTTTATGGACAGGCAAAGGAAGGGGTAATCCAGAGTGTTGGACTTTTGAGGACTTATAGTGAGCACAGATTTTGCAAGCTCTTACATAGAAACAGGATTCCTTATGGAGAGAGGGCCACTAAAGCCCACGAGAAACTAAAGAAAAGGTTTTAGTACTCCCTGGGAACTCGGCCATCTTAGCTAGATATGCTTCTGAAAGCAAACGGCTTTCCAGGGGTAGATTAAGCAGAGCACTAGACGGGGCCCTAAAAATAGAGTTTAAAAGTTCAGGGGAAGGGCCCGTTTCTTGGCTTATTGGGGCAGCTGGTGACAACGTGGCCATGGTCCTCCCAGTATAAGCAGAGTCCCTGAGATCTTCTAGCCTTTCCCCAGAAGATAAAGGATAGACCTAACCTGAACTGGCTTCTTGGATCTGGGACCTTCCACCCTGAGTCACCAGAAACATGATCAGGGGGGTTAACCCTGGGCTCTGGTTCCTGCATTACTGCTGGAGGTGCGTTTACATGCACAGACAGTTCCTGGACTTGACGTCTCAGTTTGCATATCTCCTCAGCAAATGCATGATCCTGTGTAGAGTCCATCTTCACAGAAACATGTTCTTGTTAAAGACTTGTGATAATGTCACACTTACCCCTAACACAGGTGGTCACACACTAGAGATGGCTTCTGTGTTCTTTACCTAAAGCCGCCCCCTTTCCCATAAGGCAAGCTCAGTTGCTCCCAGGACTTATACACAATGCTATAGTGCCTGGCTACCATGCTGGGGCAGGCGTGAACTGAGCACAGCAAACAGGTACTTGAGGTTGGCAGACAGGCAGATTGGAGCAATGACAGTCCAGGTAAAAGGCAGGCAAGACTTGGGGTACTCAGGGTCAGAACCATAGTTAAAGGCAGGCAGAGTTTAGAGAGTAGTAGATATCTGATCCGAGGTCATCAGCGAGGGAATCCAAACTGGCAAACAGGGAGATTGGAACATGTGTTTAAAACACAATATAACAAGCATGGGACTGCAGGCTTGGCTGGTTTAAATCAAGTTTAGTCTCCACCCAGAGACTGGCAACATCTATCAACTGTCAGTTGGACAGACACACAGGGAGAATGTATCACATCCAAAACCAGGATGCTGGAATGAGACCAGCAGCAGTGATGGAGCAGGAATGCTAGATGCTTCTGACAATTGTCCAAATGTGACCATTGGCCATATGTAGTCAGTGATGTCACTGCTATCCCAACCCCCTTCCTTACATGGCAGGGATTCCCAATGACATCACTGATTCCTGGGGATTTAGCAGTTACAAGTATCCGTTGCTTCCTTAGGCCCCAGTGCAGGAAGCTGTTATATATAAACGTGCATTTGGTTTCAATTTGTTTTTTGTATGAAAGTTTCATTTTCAGAGATTGAGATGTACAGCAATATTCTGGAAAAACCACCAACTTTATCAAATCCACCCGAACCAACGAATATACAAAACAAATGCTGGAAATACAAAAACAAATTCTGAAGATGATTGGGCTAACATAACGAAGGGGATTGAATGAAATTCTTCAATGAACAAATGTATCCAAACTAAATGGAAATCTCTAGTATGCACACGCCTAGTTATATATAGAAGTGGTAGAAATGTCTCTTCTACATGTGATGATCGGCTCCTGCAAAACACGGGACC